TTGTTGAACCTTCCGGCCATGACCGCGTTGCACATATCCCGCTGGAATGGCTCCAGACGAATGTTGCATTCCTTGCAGAAGAATTCCAGGGTGGACTTGACGTTCCGAACGTGTTTTAACGCTTTCTCTTCCGCGCCGACGGTCTCGCCTAAATCAACGCATGCAGAGAGCGGCTTCAAGACTCTCAGCCTGGCTTCTCTGCGCATCCTCTCATCGATCCTGTCGCAAATCCTGCGCATCTGCCTTTCGTGAGGAATCATGGCGTGCATGGCGTATGGGCGAGAGACACGCTACTAAGGATGTTCGACGCTACGGTTAAGGATTATTGCAAATTCACGTGGGATGGAATATTCACGTGGGATGGAATATATCTCGATGCGTATAAATGAAATTGTCATGTTGGGAAATAAATCAGTCGAAACCAAAACCTTTTCGTTACCAAGTGTCTTTTACTTTTTTCTGTTTATGTACTAAAAGGGAGAAAAAGACAAAGAGACACACGGAGAGATGAATAACTTGGACGTACCTCTTCCAGTCTACTGCGCGACGCTATCGTTCGCCTACAACGGATTTGGCATTGTGCTGTTTTTCCGAATTTTGGAAATGTATTTCAGAAAACGATACTCCGACATGTTCACGATTGACACGAGACACGCCATGGTCGACAGCGCCGTCAGTATAATGACGACGGTCGGCGTCGTAATCTTGTCCGCGATGGCCGGAGCTTTGCGGACGACGGTGGCAGACGATCGCTCGGTGGACGAAAAAACGATGGAGTCGACGTTCTCGTGTCTGTTGTGAAATTACCTTTTGCTGCTTCTGAGCGGATTGGGAACATCCAGCGCGGTCGTGAGACCGATAAACAGGATCGTGGACGTTTTGTGCTTCACGACGCTCGTTCTGACGTTGAATTTCCCCGATCTGTACGGCGTTGGGATTTTGATCGCGGTTATGCGAATCGGTTTTCCTTTGGATTACATGTGGACGTTGACCAACGTGAAAAGTCGTGTGTGGAATTTTGCAGGAACGTTCGTCTGCAACTGCGTGCTACCGCTCGTTATGGTAAAATTTGCCATAATCAACGTCCCCGTCGAATTCGGGCCAGATTCGGTTCCTGCGGTAGTGCACTACTGCTTCCTGTCGGCCGTCGGCTTCGGCAACGGGGTGCTGTTGGCGTACGCGATGAAGCGACTCACCGACGACGACGACCACCACCACGATAACGAGAAGAAGAAAATGAAGGAGGAGCAGAGGAAGATCTCCATTATTGTATAAGACCCGATGACGTACGTCATCGAACGTATAAGCATGGACGTAAATGAAAATATCATTTTATTTTAATGAGATAGAAATGGAAAAACGTGTTGAATTCCGTGTCCTGTTGAATAACCAAAAAACAAGTTTCAAGTAGCAGTTTGGATGAACTGACGAAAAACGTCGGCATTCTTTCACAGCAAGAACATCTAGGCCTGCCCCGAAAACACGTAATCGAACTGAATCTGGACGCCGTCCTTCCGATCTTCGAAAGAAAGGCGGCAGAAGTTGCTTTGAAATTGGTCGACAATCGCACAATCGACTTGGAGTTTCCCGATTTGAACACTTACGTGTACGTAGCTTCCGTACTTTCGTTTCTTTTGGCCGACGACCTCGTAACGACCAAATTGGAATCCGCCGCTTGGGCTGCATTAAGTAAACGATTGGAAAGCTTTGACGTGAGGAAAATCAACGAGTTTGCAGAATTACTTGTACATTCCTACGAATCTTTCAGAATATCCGGCGACCCGTGGTTAAGGTATCTAGCCATATGCGAACCGTTTCTTTTTGGAAACTTCGCCGTTCCCGTCCTCGACGGATACCGTCCCACCAACCCACGTTATAATCAATTGAAGGCGTGGGGCACGATGAGAACGTTCTGCACATGCAGTTTTTAATGATGGGTTAATACTGTTTTCCGTGCCGGATAACATTGTCCGACTTCATAAACGACCTGCCGACACCACCGGAATTCGCCGACACGTCGATACCGTTTTTCGATTTTCTGAGAATTTGGAAATTCGTCATTGTCAATTCGGACGAAAAACGTCAACGTCTGTACGCCATGATAACATTTGCTTACATATTCTCTATCGACGACGCAGAGAAACACACTTATCACGCCGTCTTCGAATTTACAAAGCCATTGCGACTCGTTCACGTGATAAAAACGTGCAGCACCAAGCATCCCGTAGACGAGAAGAAAACGAAGCAAAGGCACAAGCAAAATCTTTACTTCGCAAACAATTGGTACATAGACGGAGACGATAGGTGCAACACCAGCGTCAAGTACCGCTACGACGCGAACACCGTTCGATTCGATCTGTACGTTTGCCAGCCGGATCAGGCCCGTCTCGGGTTCGTGTTGAACATCGACGACGGTACCGTGGAACCGGCACCGCCGATCGGACTGCAGCTTCGTTCGGAGAAGGACGTATCTCCGGCCAGACAGAAACCGGTGGAATATGGCCAACGACTCGACCTCTATTTTAAACCGTCTTCTACAGCCCGATACATATGATATTTAGATCCTAACTTTCGTTCATTCATTTCTTTACTGAGATTTAAACGAATCAATAAAGTTATTGTGAAAACATAAAATAATTTGTATGCGTACATATTATGTGTTTCGTCTATCGTTTCATCAACTTTGTCATCAACTGTCATTCAACTTTCAATATCTAACATTTTTTCTTTGTTATTTTTACGAAGTTAAAATAATCAGACAATACAAAACTATTATGGTTTTTTTTATTTTATTTAAATTATTCTTTTTCTACGCCATCGTTATCGGCTTGATGCTGTCGAGAAAGATGGGTAACGTCTTCCGACAGATATTAGCATATGGCGATGCTTACGTCGACGGTAAAAAATGATACGTTGGATAGCGTATGCATTCGTTCTT